ACCACCGAGATCATAAATTGGTTCTCCATTATTAAAAATAAAAAAAGAGTGAAAATTTATTAAACTTGATTTACCGATTTTTACCACTTAACAACTGCAGATTTTTAAGATGAAACATATAATATTCCAGAAAAGACATATTGTAAAGCATTGCAGAAAAACCTTTTTAAAATATACTAAATATTTTAAAAAGGAAACATGGAAAAGATAAATATGACAACTTTGATCGTACAAATAGCAATAATGGTTGAACAGAGCATGGTTGTGAATTTGTAAAAAGTGTTGTTGACATATTTCAAATTTGTATACAAATAAAGTCAACATTAACGATTTAGGTGGTTACCGCAATAATGGTTTAATAGTAATGCACACAACAACGGGCCTACAGTACAATAAAATTAGAAAATGTAATAAAAATTTTTTTAAACATTGGCTTTCAAATTTAATTCTTTACTTCGCGTAAATAAATAAGCATAAATTTATAAATAATAAATAATCATAAATTTAAAAGTTTTGAATTTTTTTGATTAAACGATTTTGAAATCTTTATGTCTTTCAAAAACCCAATGATGAGTTATTGTATACTAATATTAAATCAAACCATCTACCCTATGTTTTTAAAAAAATCGTAGTTTCAATTAATAACAAACTGAATTCCCTTGATGAAAATGTATTCAAATTTTCTAAATGTATTTACTTCGTAAATACATTTAGAAAATTTACGTTTAATTATACATTTAAAAAAATAAAAAAAAATTTAAAAATTTAAAAAAGCGAAATAGAACCAGAAACATAAACTGTTTTCTACCCCTTATTTAGCAAAAATGTTTTTGAATAATATATTGATGAAACACAGTGTAAAAACAAAAAAAGAAAAACTTATAAGTGATATTATATATTTTATATATATATATATATATATATATATATATATATATATATATATATATATATATATATATATATATATATAATATATATATATATATATATATATATATATATATATATATATATATATATATATATATATATATATATATATATATATATATATATATATATATATATATATATATATATATAAATAAAACTTCTTTTTATGGATTGATTTCTATTTGCAAAAATTATATATTTATTTTTACGATATTTCGAGGGAATATGGATACTCTCGTTATCAAGTATATAAAAACCGGTATAAAAAAACAAAACCGCTATATTATATAAAAACTGTTTAAATTAACGAAACAATGTTCTTTGTAAGAGCTTCTTTTTAAGAGAGTTATTTAAGTGAGTTTTTTGTGACGTAAGAATTTAAACATGGGTTTCCAAAATGACGTCGTTACATAATCGCCATCATCTCGATTAAGACCATTGTCGCGAAAGGTACTTTCGTTGAGTTGTATTTCCAAGGCTTAAAGTATTAAAGAAGCAATCATTATACTAGTTAAAAGATTGAGAAACAACCAGGGCTTTATATCTAAATTATCTTTTGAAGAAATCAGGCTACTTTTAGATGTTTTTCTTTCTCATTGCTATTTTTTATATGAAAATGATATTCATGAGCTTGAAAATTCCGGACCAATTGGGTTAGCTCTTATGGTGGTAGTTGCTGAGTGTTTTTTGGAATATCATAAAAGTAACGCTCTTTTATTGGCGCTTAACAATAACATCCATGTGAAATCATTTAAAAAATAGTTTAAAAATAAATATAATTTTTGCAAATAGAAATCAATCCATAAAAAGTAGTTTTATTTTAAAATATTTATAGAAATAAAATCTATTGAAGATGTCAATATTTAAAATATATTTATATATATAAATAAAAAAAACGGAAAAAAATCTAAAAATGTCTCATCTAAACACATCTAAACCTACATCTAAACACATCTAAAAATGTCTCACACGGAAAAAAACACATCTAAACTTATTTTTAGTATTTGTGTCAATAAGTTTACAAGTTCACGACCCAGAGATAACCCACTGTTTTAGCAAATCATGATAATATTGACAAGAAAAAATGTGATAAAGATATGGTAAACAATATTTTTGACTCAATAAATGCAGACAAGGATAAAATAAAAATTTTTTGGTATTTTTGATGGTGGTATTTTTGATGTGTCTCTTGTTTTGAGTCATTCGACTCAAAACAAGAGACACATCAAAAATACCACCAGTTATCATTGAGTTAGACAATGCGTCAGACAAAATAAGTGTATTAAAAGCTGCATACATTAACAGAAACAAGATAAATGAAACCTATTTTAACTCAGATATGACAGAATCCGAAAGAGATCTCATTAAACAGCTACGTAGTGAAGTTAAATTGTTAAATGCTAGCCTAAATCAATAAGATGAATACTACTACACTATAAGAAATTTTAAAGTTGTGAAACTCATAAAAAAACCAAAGCAATAGCAATCCTCAATTAATTCGTATCAATGGCTGTCCTTTCTACACATAATCCTGTATCTAATTATGTTAAATCAGAACTATTATTATGCAAATCAAGACCCAAATACCATCTATGTTGTAGATTTAGAAATGCGACTTCACTTAACAATAAGTTCGATTTGTTTTTGTTAGAAATAGCAGTGTATAATCCTGACATATTTATTGTAATTGAAACTTGGTTTAACTCATCAAGTGCCATAAATGTAAGCGGGTATAATGTTTTTTACAACAATCGATCTAAATCTAATTCAACTAAACCTCATGGCGGAGGTGTAGCTATTTATGTTAAAAATAAATACATTGCTCATACTCCATATGACCTAGCATCTGAAGAAATGACAGTTGAACAAGTCTGGTGTGTCATTAAAACAGAAAATGAGAATATCTTAATTGGTAGCATATATCGTCCACCAGATGCTACAGAATTAACAAATCAAAAAATAAATAAAATAATAAATATAGCTAAAAAAAGTGTTGATTGCAACAAATATTCAGGTCTACTCTTAGCCGGAGACCTAAATTACCCAAATATAAAATGGAATGAGAATGATGAAAATATCCAAACAGTGTTAAAAAATGAAAGACAAGCACAAATTTTTTTAGACAATTTAAATGATAACTAATTGACTCAAAACGTCACAAAACCAACCTTTAATTCAGGGACACTGTCAGAAGCCAATACCTTAGATTTGATTTTAACCGATGCACTAGAGCGTATTTCGATCATAGGCTATAATCCTCCGTTAAGCAATTTAAATAATGCACATCAGATATTGTATTGGAATTACATCTTAAAAAAACCAACAACATCAAAATCTTCCTATGGGAAATCAAAGTTTAACTACAAAGCCGGAAATTATCAAGAAATGAACAATTCATTCCATAGTATAAGATGGTCGCATATTTTCTCTAATAAAAACGTTGATGAATGCTACAAAATTTTTGTAAATAAATATCAAGAATTATCTGACTGTTATATACCTAAAAAAGTGCATAAACACAAAGCTTTAAAACCATATATTGACAAACAAATGAAATCAGACATAAAACAACCTTATGGAACAAATTAATATCAAATAAATCCAAATCACCCATTTTGGTTCAGCAATACAAAATAAAAAGTAAATTAGTTAAAAGCATGGTGAGGTTAAAACGTATTGATTATGAAAAAAAAATCAGTGAAACATCAAAAAGAAATCCCAAGTTATTTTATAGTTATGTAAATTCTAACAAAAAAGTTAAAGGAGGAATAGCTTCAGTGTCTTATGAATATAATAACATTGTAACAAATAGAGAATATATAGCAAATATTTTAAACAATAGTTTCAATTCAGTTTGTGTTAACGAAGATAAACATAACATACCAAATATACCGCAGAAGACTGAAATTATTCTAGAAGTAGATATAAATAATAAAATAACTTGCCATACTATTGAAAAAAAAAAAAAAAAAATTAGATGCTTACAAAGCTATCGGAGTAGATGGGATAAGGCCATATGTTTTAAATAAATGCCATAGTACTCTCTGTGAACCATTACATTTAATATATATAAAATCGTTGACTGAGAAAAAATTACCTGAACTCTGGAAATTACCAAATATAACACCAATTTTTAAAAAACGTAATACGAACATTGCATCTAATTACAGGCCAATCTCATTGACTTCTATCCCATGTAAAGTTTTGGAATCACTCATTAGAGATGAAATTATGGGTTACCTAATAAATAACAGCTTATTAAATGAAAATCAGCATGGGTTCAGAAAAAATAAAAGCTGCACAACAAACCTATTGGAAACTCTTGATATCATAACAGATGCACTAGAAAATGGCCACTCAGTTGATATGTTGTATCTACACTTTGAAAAGGCTTTTGATAAAGTACCACACTCGCGTTTGATCACTAAACTTCAATCATATGGTATTGTGAGAAATTATCTGGGATGGATAGAGAACTTTTTAACTAACAGAAAACAGAGAGTGGTCCTTGGCGACACGGTCTCAGATTGGCTACCAGTTATTAGTGATGTACCACAGGGGTCAGTTTTAGGACCACTGCTGTTTTTGATTTTTTAATAATGATTTGCCAGATCAAGTCAAAAACCCTATTAAACTTTACGCTGATGATAGTAAAATAATAAATATTATAAAAAATCCAAATGATTCAATAAGCCTTCAAAATGATATAAATAATATAATGGCATGGTCATCTATTTGGCTCACAAAATTTAATTATGAAAAATGCAAAGTTATGCATATTGGGAAAAAAAATCCAATTGCTACAATGACTGATATTGATTGCAATTACAATTATACATTGTGTAACACAAAAGCTGAACGTGATTTGGGTATAATGGTTCAATCCGATTTAAAATGGCACTCACAAGTTGATTCAGCAACCAGCAAAGCAAACAGAATGTTAGGTACCATAAAGAGAAGCTTTAAATATTTAGATGTAAGCATGGTAAAAATGCTCTATACAACGTTCATACGTTTACATCTTGAGTTAGCAGTCCAGGCATGGTTTAAAACAAGACATTGACAAGATTGAGAAAATCCAAAAAAGAGCAACCAAACTAGCACCTACAATTAGGAAATTATCATATGAGGCTAGGTTGAATATTATGCAATTAACATCACTGGAAGAACGTAGACTACGTGGAGATCTGATTCAACAATATAAAATTCAGCATGGCCACGATAAAATAAATTGGGCTGCTAACGATTGTGGAAATGCATTGGAGGAGGGTCCATGTCTGCGACAACACAAATTCAAAATGAGGAGTTGTAAATGCGTGGAACAGCTTATCATCTGAAATAATAGAAGCTACTTCAATAAATAACTTCAAAAACAAACTAGACAGAGCTGGATTTTGCAGAAACTATTTGTTAAAACACAAACAAAAGACAAATGAGCTGTTACAGTGCAATATCTTATGTCATTGCACTTCTCAACTGTTTAAAACAGTTGTTACAGTTATACCTTATTATTATTATTATTATTATTATTATTATTATTATTATTATTACTATTATTATATATATATATAATATATATATATATATATATATATATATATATATATATATATATATATATATATATATATATATATATATATATATACTTCATTTATTTATAAGCAAACACAAAGTTTTTACCTCTTAGGAAGAAAAAAAATCGAAGCCACCAATGACACCGTCATCCCAATTACAATAATAATGTTTGGAATAAAGATTTTGAACCTTTCAAAAAAGGAGTCTAAAAGTTTATGAAAGAAAAAGCAAATAAGTTATGAATACTTAAAATATTTATGAATAATTATAATATGTGAAATGTTTTTATATCATTACTACCGCCTTCATAAAACTTTTTTTTTCAATAAAAGTTTTTAATTTAAGCAGTAAAACAGCAACAACAATAACAACAACTACAATAACAACAACAATAACATCATCGACAACAACAACAACAACTACTTCATATCTAGTTGTTGTCGTTGTTAATATTAACAACAATAATAGTATGGTGAATCAAATTTCCTTTTAAAATTATAGTCTTCTTTTCATGCCTCCTCCTTGAAATGGGAAGCTGATTTTATTTTATAATAATGTTCTTCGATTAGTCAAATCCCTTTATTACTCGTTCACTACTATTCTTTATATAATATTTTTTTCTGATTATTTGCTATTATGTAAAATATCTTTTTTCTTCTGCCCATCACACTACAAATTTTATTTGCAATATTAAAGTAAAAACATAAACTAATAAATATATAAAGTATATTTTCCCGATCTCCTCTCTAATAAACATCTTTTCTGATAAACATCTTTTTGAACTTTTATGACGTTTTTTAAACGTTTTTTGGGTGTTTTTAATAGATTTAAATCAAGCAAAAAAGATTTTAATTTGCGTCCTGTATTGCCCACCAGACGGCTCAAAATACTATTATCCTATTTCCTTGAAAAATGATAGCTAAGCTAGATTCAATAAAAACAATAATTATGGGAGACTTGACGTCAAATAATTATTATTTTACGTCAAATTAATATCTTCTAATAAAATATATATTATATTTCTATGATTTCAAACAATTAATAAAAAGCGCTGCAAGAACAACATTGACGACTTTTAGCTTGATTGATGTAAATTACTCATATAATCTAACTCCATCATGAAAATCTTTCATCAATATGTTTCAGTGATCATGATCTGACTGGATGCATTCACAAGTCTATTTATGCAAAATACAAATCAAAACATAGTAAAGTGTATAAATTTTAATCCACGAAACAAGAGATTTAAGGTAAAACAAGTTCATCAAAAAAAACTGAGCTTGTTTCAACCTCTAATCTTCGTAAAATTGACTGCATTTTGAAATCACTTTTGCGACTCGGTGCCTCTTTGAAAAAAAAAAGTTTTTTTTTACTTATAAAAGACTGTGTGCAGGCTTTACTACATCAAGAATCTACTTGCAATTACAGATTTTAAAAATTTAAACCAGTAATAGTTGATCAAAGTCCCACAACGACAATTAAAATTACTGACCCATACCTGTAACACTAACTTTAAAATTTATAAATTTTAATTTATAAAATTAAAATTTATCAAAAGAGTTTTACATATCCAGTTGTCTAAAAATCTAGATGAAAACAGCCTTAAAAGCCGCAATCATTTGGTTTTTTGTAAACGATTATTGAAACTAACTGCAACGCTATACGTAAATAACATTAAATTAAATGTCGGTGAAGATAAGATAGTTGGAGAAGTATTTCCTGACTTAAGTAAAGCATTTGACACTTTGAGTTAGGGAATACTATTCACAACCTTAACAGTTATTTTATTCGTGACAGCAAACTCTGCTAGTTTAAAAATGATTTTTTTAGTAGATTACAAACCATTTGTTTTCAAAGTATGCCGTAAATAGGAGAAGCTGTATATGGTGTACCTCAAGGATCAATGTTGACCTTATTACTTTTAATTGTTTACTTTAATGAACTTGTACCTTGTTTGACACTTAAAATCTGTTATTTATGTTTAAGGCAAAGTTATATAGTTATTAGAAAAATTTATTTTGTCATAAAATTGCGTTTTAAATCCAATAATAAAAGAAATATCAAAATTGTGTATTAAAAACAATCGAATTCTTAATCTTAGAGTCGAATAGAGATTATTTTAAACTAGGGAAACAAAAGACGAACGTTGCCTTCAGCTTCAACTTAATATGTTGTACCGTGAGCTATAAATACCTTGGTATCAACCTAGATTCTACGCTTTATATGAGAAGGTATACTTGAAATGCTGATAAAAAAAGCTTGTGGCTAATTAAGATTACTAAAGAAAACTTGATACTTGTTAACACCTCTTGCAGCAAGACGCATTTTCCAATAGAGATTATACCCGTTTTGACTGCTGTGGAAATCTTTGCTTAAACATACCAAAATCCAAAACTAATAAGCTAGACTTTTTGCGTACAGGTGCTTCTCGTATTATAAATATAAACAGTAACTACGAGAAGTAATCAAAAAATCCCCTGTCTCTTTAATTTTTAATGCATTTTGTCTCTTGACAAAGAAATGCATGCTTAATATGTTTTAATATGAACCTTGCAAAAGCAACAAAAACAACTACCGTCTAATTGAAGTTTTAATTTTTCTGCTTTTTGAGCAATTACTCTGCTCCTGTAGTGTATAATGATTTAACATTAAAACCTTGGGAAATAAAATTAATGACTGAATTTGAAAATACGTTAAATTTATTTTAGATTAGATATTCATATAAAATTCTTAAATGGCTATATAACATAATTGATTTTAATTTTATTATGTTTCATAACAGGGCTTATATTATTAACAGAGTTGTAAAAGTTTATGAAGTAATTTATTCTGTAGAATAATATTCAATAAAAAAAAAATAGATTAAAATCTAGTCAACTTGTGTCTTAAAGTCATCTGAATGATAAGTTTCTCTATGATGGTTCTAATTTTTAATCATGTGTTACAGACGCCCAATCCCCAAGCATTTGAAAACAAAGTTTCTACTTAAATACTCCTTATGCAAAACCCTTTTTCATCATAAAAACATTTAGATGCTACCCAAAATGCCCATTTAGGTATGAGCATGCAGTTAGATTCTCGTTCTAATAAATGTTTTTTAAAACCCAAACAAGAACAATGTAGAACTCTTCTACATTGTTCCTACGTTTTTGGTACACATACCTTGTGGTACACATACTATTTTAAGCAACGATCAACCTATCCCAACTCAATAGCTAAGCTTATGACAATTATTTTCTCATTTACTTGTTTTATCTTAACTACATGATTTTTCCATTTTTCTACTACTAAAATAACAAAACGTGACTTCGCATCCAACAAAGAAATGTTTATACAAAAAATTGTCTAATTCAATAATCTTAACAATGCCATCATTCAAGTCTCTTTCATGCAGCATATGAATAGTCTTCTTCAAAATGGCATTTTAGCAACTTTTTACTTTTTCTTTGCATAAATATTACCTTCACCAACTCTTTAATCTCACATCTGTCTATTTAACAATTATTTGGTTGGTAATCAACTTATACATGTAATAATTATTTAATAAAAATCTTTAATTCTAAGTATAATAACTTATACATAAAATAATTAGTTCATATAAATTATTTATATTTCTGATAACTATTTCTTTTTGACTTTTGGCGTAAAATTTGTTGTAAAATTTGTTGTTGTTGACGATATTGTTGTTTTTATTGATTGTCACATGATGGTGTTGTATGATAGTGGCAGTCTAACTAGAGTAATTTTAATTAATAATAACTACCTGAGATATTTATTTATAATTTGTCCATTTATTCAACTTATCAAGCAATTAAATTCTAATAATAAAAGCCAATAAAAAATTAAATACAAATTTTAATAAAAAATAACATTACTTTTTTTAAATATATTGTTATATTTCTCCACAGGAAAAACTAAATATCCTGAAAAGAAAAAAAAGAATACATAAATAAATAATATTTGATAAAATGCTACGAAAAAAATAAACGAATTTTACAAAAGCCTGTAACAATATATAGAGGTAATTCTTGAATTAAAAATAGGGGGAGAGCGAATTCTAAAAAAGTACTGACTACTTTCTTGAAAAAAAACAAACTTTATAACTCAAAGTCTAAGGTGACTTTAAGTTATAATTTTTTTTTTTTAACCTTACTCAGCCGATTAGCCGATTATATTTCTCAAACCGACTATAACTTGAAAATCGACTTCTTTGGGGGGTATAAAAGTTTTGCACAAATTTTATGGAAAATCTAAATTTAGCTGCAATTCAGCAGCTAAATTCAAATTTTTAAAGTTGCAAATACATTTTTACATTAGTTAGGTTGTTTAACGTTTTTCTTAAACAGAATCAATAAAATGCAAATCTGGTATTGGAAAAAAGGAGGTTTTTCAAGATTTAAAACTAGTTAGAATACTGGTTTACAGCTTTTAATAATCTAAGTCTTTCACTAAAGAAACGCACAAAAAGAAGAAGATTTTCTAATTGTTTTGTCATAAAAGTTTGATATAAACATGTTTTTAAGCTTTCAATACACAAAATGTGTCCAACTGTTCTGAAATTCAAAAAAAAGCAACCCACTAAAGAAAATTGTATGAAAACTATATTTTTTAAAATTTCTGAATTATTGAAGACGATGAAACTTATATGAAGTATGATCATCAGAAAATTTCTGGGGCTGTCTATAATAATTTCTAATATATAGAAAAAGCAGCTAAGAAATTTAAATACACAAAAAAATATGAGTTTGCTTAAAAAGCTTTAATTTGAAAAGCAATTTGCAGGAATGAAAAAAAAATTAACACCCTATCAACCTAGCAACACTCTATCTGAGTTCACACTATTTGGCAACACCCTATCTGGTTAATTATAATAAATCTGGTTAAATCTGGTCTATTTGGTTAAATATATGTTAAAGAGTGTTAACAAAAACGATTTTTGCCTCCTACTAAATCACTTGATGGTAGACATATGCTCTGGTCTGATTTATTATCAAGTCGTTATAGCAAACTGGCTATGAGATGGTATACAAAAAATGACCCGAAGTTTGTCTAAAATACAAAATTGTCAAAAACTGTCTAGTATTATAAAATTATTGCAAAGTACTGGGTAAATATTAGACGTAAAAATAAAAAAAAATAAAAAAAACTATTCAAAAACATTAAATTTGATTTTTATTCTGTGCGTAAGATTATGGGTATCACTAAAACAAAAGTTCAAAAACTTATTTAAGATTCACTCAGGAATAATTAGATACCACAGGAGAAAAATCTTTTTATATTAATTTATTTGGTTTAATTCTTAGTTCCTTATAAAAGTCAACGCGTATTTTTTTTAGTTGTATTCATACTTTCACTCTGATTTTGTGCTTCATAAAAAAAGTATTGCTTTTCTAAACCCTATTTTACGCACAGGCTGAGTAAACTACTGCTTTAAAAAAGATAAAAGTGATTTTTTTTATTTATATATGGAATTATTTGTTTTTTATTAGGTTTCTAATAAATAATGACTTCATTATATAGTAATTAATTTATCATACAAAAGATTTTCTAAACAAATAAATTAAGAAAAGCTCTGAAATGAAAAAATTGTGTATAAGATGCATACCAGCCACATTTCCTTATATATATATATATATATATATATAAGGAATATATATATATATTGATAGTCTCAGGAATTTGTTCCCAAAATGCTTGGAAAGTATTTTAATTGTTTAATAGTTATAGCTTTAAAAGGCTTTAATAATTTAGGTCTTCACCCAAAATGAGATTGTCGCAATATTTGACATACTATTTGGATAGGAATGTCTTAAATATAAAAACCTATGTCATGAATATTATTATATATAATATAATTGAGAACTTGTTTAAAATTAATTTTAATATACTTTTTTGACAATAACATAAAAATATTATCATTAATTGATGTTAAAAAATAAATATTTTCTCAGGAACATTTGTAATATTTGTATTTTTCCATTCAAAATAATTAAAGATTTCTTCAAATACTCTGCGAGAAGCTGTTATTTTTTGAAACTTTGAATCTATTCCAACATGCTTTATAAAAAACTGTAATAAATTGTTCCAAAAGCTTAGCCAAAAAAGTAGTCCGATCGACGGCGTTTTTAAAACTTTAAAATTTTTCTTTACTTACGAATTTCCTCTCTCAACATCAAGTTTTTAAAAATATACTGTAAACAAATCTTCATAAATTACTAAAAATGCTTTTTTCTTTTTTTCTTGTATACAAGTTTTTTCTTTAATTGATGTTTTATTTAAAATATAATTTGTCTAAAACTGAGCTGTATAACTTAAAAAGAGTAAAAAATAGTATACTTCAAATTTTTATTTACCTGAATTATTAGTTTTTTAAGGATCTTATTGATATTTGTAAATGTTTTGCACCTGAAGCAAATTTATTTTTTTTCACTTAGATAGATATATACATAAATAGGTAGATATGCATTTACATATTTTGGTAAATGAATTTTATGATTTTGATGACTTATCACAAATAAGTCTACTGATCGTAACAAATCCAACAGGATATGACAATGTCCTAGGTTGTCCAATTTACAAAATTAAAAATTGGATAAGGGCATGCTCAATGCTAAAATATTCGGCAATAATTCAAAAACGTATATTAAAAGAGAGCTTATATGGTAGAACCTATTTTGGTCACTTTATTTGGAAGCATTTTCAATTATATTTCAATAATTCGAACTCATAAAATCAAGCGCGGTACTTTGATTCACTAATATGTCAAAAGCTTTGCAGTTTCATTTAGAAAAATCTCCTATAAATTCTTTAATTGTGAAAACGTACTCTTTTACTGTAAATTGGCAAACTTTAGTCTCGTCTATACAATAAGGTAGAGAAAAACTACTTGTTGAAAACTATAGACAAGATTTACCAATCTTTTTATTGATAAATATTACTAAAGCACATCAATAATAATAACCTACTGTATTCGAATCAATCATATATAACTTCTATATGATTGATAACAATCAATCATATAGAAACTTTTATTATATTTTTGTCTAACAAACAGTTTTTTGATGTAATCTATCCAAAGCTTTTGATTACCTCACAATAGATTTACGTTACAACTAATTCTATTTTAGCAAGTTGAAAGCAACACCTAACAATTTTTATTACCAGCTCTATACAATCTTGTCCAATTTACTGAAACCTTTTTTGCAGTAATTTTGGTAATCTGCAGGATCGTCTGCACTTATGTACAGGTTTTTAATAACTTTGTTACTTAAATTAAACATTTCAAATTATTGGTTATCTATTATGCTCAAACTAATCCTAAAAATATTTACTTTTTAAAAAATAAACTAGGTATACTTCAATGTCTTTAAAACTTGATTAAAAAAGGTGATTTTAAAGTCATTTTAGAGTCAACTAATTTTAGGCGGAGGACACATATTCAATCAGTTGTCTATAAATCTCTAAAAGTACTTGGTATGCTAAAAAAATATTCGCTTGGCTCTCAAACTATATAAAAGAAGGTACCATATCTTTGAGAATTATAAATCATATATAGTTGATAATCAGATATAACTGATAAAAGAGCATGAATTTGATGTTGATAGTCTACTAAAATAAAACATTCATGAAATTGAGAAAGCAGTTCAAAAAGATACGGAAGATACCATGTCAATTTCCAAATGATGTGATTAAACACTTATTTCTTGATTGCTTACTACTTACAAAGATAAAATTTGAGTTAACGTTCTGCCTAAAATGTTATTCAAAGTAAAAAAGATGCAGAAAAATATTATTTAATAGTTTTTAAATTAACCTCTAATTCAGCATCTACGGTGCTGACAAAGCTGCATTTAAATTGCGTTATGTTTATTCAAATGAAGAAAGCAAAGTCAACTTAGTTAAAGAGCAATTTCTAGAGTTTGTTGATTGCAATCAAAAAACAAGCAAAAGTATTCCTAAAATAATTTGCAAAGCTAATAAAAAAATTTACAACAAAAGACTGCCGCAGCCGATGTTATGACAACAACAACAACATGATTTGTCAGTATAAATGACCACAAGCAGAAATTGCAATACAAACCTCTTATTCAATTCTAAATGAATGTAAAATTGTTGCTGAAAACCAAGACCTTTCTGAAAACCAAGACCTTTCTGAAAACTAAGATCTTTCTGAAAACCAAGACCTTTCTGAAAACTAAAACCAAGACCTCTTATTCAATTCTAAATGAATGTAAAATTGTTGCTGAAAACCAAGACCTCTTATTCAATTCTAAATGAATGTAAAATTGTTGCTGAAAACCAAGACCTCTGAAAACTAAAACCAAGACCTCTTATTCAATTCTAAATGAATGTAAAATTGTTGGTGTTTCCAATGACATATTCCCAGAGAGAAGACGCTTACAGAAAACTAGATTTGCAGAAAGTTTTGTTTAGTTTATTTTGTCGTAATTATTCTTAGTTTTATAAAAATAAGATTATCTACAATGCACTGAAATATGAAAGTGAATATTATTGGCTATAACAAAATGAAGGCGTAGTTAGTTTTTCCATGGAGCGCCATTAGAAACGCCTCTTTATAACCGTATCATATTAGAAACCGTATTTAAAAAATTGACAACTGAAAATTGTTAAAAAACCAAAAAAAAAACAATTAAAAATTGAAGCATTAAAAAAAATAATAATAATTAAATTAAGATAATAGAAAAGACAATGTTTTCTGTTGTGGACTTTACAAAATTTTTATTCAAAATTAAAAATAATAAAATATCTGTTGCAACACCAAAATAAAACATATTGCAGTTTTATAAAAAACGTTAATATACGATAAATTACAATAGTCTGCATACTTAAATTAAATGAATATAAAATAATACTAATTTTGCATTTAAATTTAAAAATAATTATTTTCAATGATAGTCATATAGAGTTGTATAGAATCAAGTAATTTTGTTCAATAATACTATATTATAATAAAAATGATAAAAAAAAGTATGTTTGACCTTATCCGAAGTAGGGTAAGTTGTTAATATTAATTTCATCAGTATAAACAGCGATCCATGTAAATTTGAAGATGAAAACAAGGTAGTTCAATAAAGCTGATATCTATATTTTGCATTAAAAGTTGTTTTAAAATATATTGGTTGCCTCTCAGGCTGAATATTTTCTCTTTTTAAGCAATACATTATGTATCGAAGTTGATTCATATCTTCACCTTTCATTCAAACAGCAACTGAATGTACAAATACAACGTCTACGGAAACAACATTCATGCTTAGATTCAATATTATTTGATGGAACTTTTGAGCCTTTTGTCCAAAAGTTAAAGCAGTAGTTTTTGTTTTTAGAAAATAAAATCAATCCAACATCAATCATACCATAACATCAATCATACCATAACATTATTCTATATAACGTAGGGGAAAAATTTACACCAAGGTTTTTCTAGTTTATGAAGGATAAGAACTTTTGATGTTTTTCTCACCTGCTGAATAATCTGAGTAATCTACTGATAGCAGATTACTCAGGCTCAAAAGGAGGCTAATGGATAACTAAATACGTCAAAGGGAGGCTAATGGATAACTAAATACGTTTCTTAAATTCCATTTTTTTTCATTCTATATTTAAACAAATAGAAATTTTAGGAAAAGTTTTATGAAGCCTTAAAAAAAAAAAAATTTTTGTTTAAGCCAGTATGGACCTTTAACTTTAAAGAAAAAAATGTTTTGAATTATAAATTTTTCATAGGATCAAATATTGATTTAGTGGCACAAAAGGATAAACATTGTATACAAATGTTTCATAGAAAACTTGTTTTTTAATTTGTATAATTTGTTGGCAATTTCATCTGAACCTACAATGCCCTTTGATATTTAATAAATTAAAAAACAGTGCAGAGTTTTTTCAGAAAATTGATGTGTTAAGATAATGGATGCAAAACTGACACTGATGACTTGTCAGTTTTCATCCTTTTTAATTCTACTTGATGTTAATACTTTGTGGTGATTGACTTTATGACGCATATTGACATGTTCATGTAAATATGTTCTGAGTATTTTATATATATGTATCTAACATATTGCATTACTTTTCGTTGAAAATCCTTTTGTACCTCTATGACTTTAAATATCTTGGTTAATTGTGACCTCAACAAATTTATTGGGTTCATTTTTACCAAATTTATTTAGTTCAATATGTTGAAAAAAAAATGTTTTATTTTTAAATTTTTTTATTAACTATTTTAAAGTCATTTTCAAGGGCAGCCATTTCTGCCAGGTAACTGCAATCTTTTCTGATAGGTAAGTGAACCATTTCTGCTAGGTAAGGTGTCAAATACATATTTATATTTATAATTATAATATTTGTAACTATTATAATTATCATAAACAAATACACAGGCTGCATTTTCTCGAATGCATTTAAGTTATAGTAACAACTCTTTAGCCCTCACAGCACACAACTTGTTTAATACCCTGTGAGTGATGCACCCACTAAATTAAATTATCTTTAAAACTTACAAATATACTATTTTTAAAACTTACAAACTTTATAAAAAACTGCTTGACTTCCTCAAAACTTTAGACCTTATAAGGCAGAATAAAGGCTATTAATATTGAAAAACAACTTTTCAATTTAAAACTAAGTTGTAAGTTATTCATTTTTTTCAGTATATAATTTTCATCCTGTCTGGTATAGTTAAACTTTCTTTTCTTCTATAAAGCTGTCTCAGTACCGTTTTTTTTTTTTTTTTTTTAACGGCTTACTGTTTATAATACGAGGTCATTTTATATTTTTGAAAGAAAAAATGTTTTCTTGAAATATTTTTTCAAGAATAACTTTGGTAATTATCCTTTGCTCCATTGAGTTCCTGAAATTAGTTGTATATGCTAATATTTAAAGATCCTATTTAGTAATAGTATAATTTTAGACAAAAAAACGTTTGCAATTTAAAATTAATCTTTAAATAAAATTCCTTAATCTTAATAAATTTTTTGTTTATAATTTTTATAAAAGTTTATTAATAGGTTTAGAGTTTACTTAGAAATTTAGCTGATAAATATTAAGAATTTTCATTTAAAATAATAATGGCTTGGCATGAGCAAATCGATCTTTATAGTTGATAAGACAAGCAACATGCTTCTGCTGACGAAAAAGAGGTAACAGTTTAGATATATTGGTTTTACCCCAAGCATAATTTATATGGCAATAAATTAAAGAGAAATATAATTGTGTTAAACTGTGTTTATTTAAAGCATTTCTAGCTTTGAACATTACTCCTATATTTTGAGCAACTTTGTTGCACAACAAATCAATGTGATACTTCCAACTAAGGTTTTCATCAATATTTATACCTAAAAAATTAGTAGTTTGTTCTCTTTTTATTTGAATTTTGTCAATAAAAAGTAAGGGCATGTCAGGACGTAGTAGCTTTTTTTTTGAAGTTTGATGAAAAAGTATCCATTTAGTTTTCATATAGTGACAGCTTTTTCTTTTATAAAAGTTCGTTTCTTTAAACTATTTTATTGATTTTTTTTTATTATAAACGTTGCGATTATAACATACATGACTTTGAGAGATCAATATTAAATAGCTGATCAATGATTTTTGATCGGCAGTTATTTTGAGCGCTGATATGTCATGATTAAATATGATTAGATATGTATAATTAAGACTAACTGTTAAAAAGCACACGTCATGATTTAACATGTCTATATATATGTCAAATCATCAACATTTTTTTTGTCTATATTTAGATTGTCTGAACCAATCCAAAAGAATAAAAACCAATCAAAAAGTCTAGCGGGCGCAGAACGTCAACGGGACATCTTAAGTATGTCCTACGGACTTGTGACGCACATAAAACGTCGTATTGACGTCTAACGAACGTTTGTGCCCGCTGGGAGAGTAAAACAAACTAAACAAAAAAAAATTAAATTAAAGGAAAAAATTACAAATAGCAACATTAAACGTAAAAAAACTTACCACCCATGCTAGGACCAATAACTAGTCCTATATTGTAACCTGAGAAAATTACACTTAAGCCAGCTGCCAGGTTGGTGTCGTCACATATATCTGCCATATAGGCCTTTGTAATTACCAAAACCCCTGTAATGATTTCACATAAAAACTTAGAAAACTTTACTTTGCGCTAAGATATAGAAATTAATATTATAAGAATACAAGAATAAAGTTGCCGTGCTAGTCTGAATGTAAAAGACTGTATAGAATGCACAATTAAGAGCAGATATAATTAAAATCTGTTCAAAATTGAAAAACTGAAAAAATTTGTAAATCGATTATATAGGTTTTAATGTTATTATCGAATAAATAAAACAAATTAAAATTCCATTATAACTTTTAATTTTTCTTTGAAACACAAAATTTCCAATTGCAAATGTCGTTTTAATTATAAAACCACTTGCAAACCAAGAAATATTGATGTTTAATAACTTTTCAAATAGTGAAAATAAATCAAGGAAAGATATCAATTATTATAATAATGTGTTTTGATTTTTTCCAATACCAAAACAAAACTTTTTAAAAATCTAGTTTCAGTCCAGAGTAAATCTAATTTATTCCATTTGCCTGAAAAAAAAGCAAAGTTATTTTAAGCCCAAACAAGGATTGGCATGGGGCTTCCGTAAATGGCTTATGGCTGGTTTGAAGATGGGACGAGTGGTTTAATGGGAGCTTGCATTAGTGATGTAAATTTTCCAGTAATATTTGATTCAAAATTTACCAGTAACTTTTAAAGAGGACGGTAAATTTTTCTTTAAAAAATTAAAAAAAACAAATAAATATAAGTGAAAAAAAAGTTTTAAAACTTACCAGGCGGTAAATTTTACGGTAAATTTTACCTTCGCAACACTAAACTGGATTACTGAAACTGAGTTATGGCTGGGATTTGAAGTGGGTAATAGATGGATCCCATATGGTGTAACGATTGCGGCAAAAAATATGCTTGAAAATATGATAAAATCTCTTAAAATAAGTAAAAATATTAGGTTTTATATGAAAAAATGTTTAAATTATTGGCGCTACTCGACTTTCTCACCCCCCTCCCTCCTGTTTTTATAATTGACTTTTATAGAGTACATTATACTGATTTTAAATCATATAAAAACATAGGTCTGAAAACTTGAGGAAAACGTACTCTAATTTGATGTTAAAGTATAAAAATCCACATTAAAAACGCTAATATTCCACTATCTTTTTAAAAACATTTCAACACTGTTTTCAAAATTTAGGTAATTAATTTCTTAACTAACAACCCGGTTTTTATTGTTGTTTTTTTATTTTTGATGCACATACATCGACTGACAAATTGGAATTGGCGCAATTAAATGTACATACATCGACTGACAAATAGGAATTGGCGTAAATAAATGCACATGATTTGGGTCAGGGTTTGGTTGGGGCAGGAAATCAATAAGAAACACGTTTTAAATTGAAGCGTCAATAGAAACCAGGGTTTTTTAAGTCGTTTATTATTTAAATATTAGCGTTTTTAATGTGGATTTTTATACTTTAACATCAAATTAGAGTACTTTCCTCAAGTTTTCAGACCTATGTTTTTATATGATTTAGAATCAGTGTAAATGTTGTTATATGATTTATGTTTTTATATGATTTAGAATCAATGTAAATGCCTAAATTGTTTATATTGTAAATTATTTGTAAATAATAGTAAGTAGAAACAAAAATTATTAGGTGTTTCAATATTTAACTTTATTTGTAATAATAAAAAATTTATCACGTTTTGTTTGAATATATTTATTTATAAACACATTTTTTAAATTCTTCAAAATATAAAAGTGTATATATTTAATAGCAATACTCAGACATTTGTTTAAGAAACATTTCGGCTAGTCTAAAAGGGGGAAATATTGAGTTTTAAGGTTATAAGATGTACCGTAAAATTGGGTGGCTTTGGCCCTACTTGACGACTTTAGTCCAAGCAAAATTTTTGTTTAAAAATGGTTTAAAATCGATACCTCAAGGTATGCCGGTTAGTGTTTAGTAGCAAATTGTAGGAAATTTATTATTTATTTAGTCTAACTTAGTTTACTTAATTCGAGTCTTTGTGATATTATTGTAAATTGCACTTTAGAAGAAGCACCTAAAATCCAAATTTTTTTAGGTGTTTAAACTTTTACATCGATAGCAGTACCTCTAGAAGGTTTTTTATTGGAATATACACTGAATTAATTTTAAACCATTAGTGTTTAATTCTTGTTTTGAAAACTTAACAGTTTATTACTTTTTTGTAATTGAGGTTAAAAAAAAGTAGGTTGTCTTTGGCCCACTACATAGGGTGACATTGGCCCGGGCTAAAGTCACCCCATGTATTAGAGTAAACCTTTTTTAGTGATCATTTATAGATATTATGGTAGTTACTATGTTGAAATGAAAAATTTTGTAGTAGTAATGCAATTTTGAAAAGTATGGTGGTAAAAATATTAAAAAGTATGCTGGTCAGCAATATTTACATTAAAAGAAGAAAACATGTTTAAGGCATATGCAATAAAACCATCTGAGTTTGGTTTTCCTGTTGATAAATATGATTTAAGACGCATAGTAAAATGGTGTTTAGAGATAAAAGTCGTCATTATACTTCAGTTCAAAAATAATTTTCCTGGTGGCGATTGGATTCGATCTTTTTTAAAAAGAAATCCAGAGCTCACAGTAAGATTTGCAAGCAACATAAAGCGAAAGAGAGCATAAATAGGAACGACTATGATTGATAACTACTTTATAAATCTATCAAATGAAATAAGTAATACATCACCAGATAATATATGGAATTATGATGAAACCAATCTCAGTGATGATCGAGGTAAAAAAAAAAAAATTAACAAAGCGTGGATGTAAGTATCCTGAACGCATCATTAATTCTACAAAAACCTCATTCTCTGTAATGTTTGTGGGAAAGCTAATGGTGAATTGCTACCAACTTATGTTGTTTACAAAGCTGAGTCGTTATGGAATACATGGATGGAACATGGGCCACCAAAAGCACGTTATAACAGATCAAAAAGTGATTGGTTTGACTCAATATGTTTTAAGGACTGGTTTTTCTCTTTACTTCTTCCAAGACTAAAGAAGGCTCAAGGAAGAAGTGTCATTATAGGTGATGACGTATCTTTATGACGTTTATTTATTTTCAGTTATTTATATTTAGCTAATCAATTAGTAAACTTTATAACTAATTAATTTAATAACTAATACTGTTTAATGAAACGACTAAAAAATTTTAAAAACATTTTTGAGATTTTTTTTTCTGCAGTTGAAAAAATTAAGAAAAAATGTAGCAAAAATTACTATTATGAAAAAAAAATGGACTTAAATGGAAGTGGTCACTACCAGCAAAGCAACTTTTTTTTCCCCAATCTGAAATAGTCAATTTTATTGAAGAACCAAAAAAAATTTCAAAAAGAGGAATTTATTTAGTTCCAGAACTTTTTCACTAAATTTTTTAAAACATTATTTTTGTCATTTTTGTTTACTTTATACCTAAACTGTTTTGTTTACTTGGTACCTATACTTGTTTAGTTTGTACCTAAGTTGTATTTTATTTACTGTATACAAGAACTTTTTTACTAAATCTTTTTTTGTCACTTTATTTTTGTAAATTTATTTTCTTTGTTACTAAATCTTTTTTTGTCACTTTATTTTTGTAAATTTATTTTCTTTGCCTAAATATTGTTGTTTTAGTTGTTGTTTTGCTTCCTTTAGTTCAGGGTTGGGCCAATGTCACCCTAACACATAGGGCGACTTTAACCCACCATTTAAACTACTCAAAAGATACTTCAGGTAAATAATTTTCAAATGGGAGACAGATAGTTCTAACTGTCTTTTCTATGCACTTCTAAAAGTACTTAGTGTTTGAGGAAATAACTTTAATGGCTTTCATGCAATAGACATTAAGATGCAAAATGGGCCGAAGCCACCCAATTTTACGGTATTTTAATTATCACAGGAAATTATATTACTTTTTTATAATATGTTGTGAAATAAATTAAATACACAATCATAAAATACTACTCAAGTGTAATATAAAATTGAAAATGTAGTTTTGATACAAAATATTGCAAAAACTGAATGTTTGAATAATCATAAATATTTTGTGTTTTTCACTTCATTTCATGTTTCATTATTATATGATATCATATAGTCATATATAATAGTATTAAAAATGAAATAAATAAAAAAAGTTTATCAAAAATTTGATATCTTTTTTATAACTTTGTAAATACACATATTATGTTTATTTACAAAGTTATGAAATATTTGGTTATACATTTTTAATCTATGTTATTTTTGTATAAAACTTAATTAAATTTTAAATTTAAATAAAATTTTTATTAATTTATTTAAGAGGTTCAATAGTAGCTACGTTTTGTTTTTAGAGTTGGTTTGTGTTGATTTATGATTTATGAACAGAAAATGCATTACTTTAATAAATGTTAGTTATTTACACATAAAATGTGTAAAAAACTAAGTTGTTATTAAATCTCCGATGAAATGGTTCATAGAAATCTTGTAAGTTTACACTTAATCTGACAACATTGTTTTGAATATTTTTGTTTCAGAAAGTTCATGAAAGTTTTACTCTCCCCGAGTTTCTCAAACTATAAGTTTGAGAAACCGAGTCTCCTCCTCAAACTATTAGTTTGAGAAACCGAGTCTCCTCCTCAAACTATTAGTTTACATTTTCCTATTATTGGCTTCTGTGAATGGATAAGTTCTGTGAATAGAAGATGGACTGTGAATCGCTAGAAAAATAAGAATGTTATTATGATAGCACACATTTTTAGATCAAGAATAGTTAGTTCTACATTATTTTCATTAAAAGTTTATGAATATATATGATAAAAAACATTTTTAAACTACATATACAGTAGTGTGACATGATTTGGAATAAATATACATTTAAAGAATTTTTCACATAAACTTCATTTGGTACCTCAATGGTAGTTTGTTTTTATTTTTATTTTAATTTATCTGTTGATTAGTAGAATAATATTTAATAGTAATAATATTTATATATAATAAGGCGTGTATGTTATTCATGCAATATGATTTCAATAGTCAATTTTTTTTAATAGTTTAATGGCAGCATGTATTGTCATCAATACATGCTGCCATTGTCACAATGTAGTAAAGTTTAAAAGTTATCCATGTGTAATGATTTTTTAAACCAATTTATTAGGGTGTTGTATATTTTTTAAATTCTGCTGTGAAATAAATTGAATATATAATCACAAAATTTAGCTCTAAGACAACATAAAATTAAACAGAAAATTTAGGTCCATGTTAATTGAAATACGTTATGTTTGACTAATCATGAATATAACTATTATATATAGTAATGTAAGGGGACATCCATAAAGAACGTAAGCAGTAAAATCACTGATTTAGGACCCCCTCCGCCTTTTACAAACCTGTACGCTTATGAAGACCTCCACCCCCCTCCGCGTACGTACGCATTATTTTTTTTTTCAAAATTAACTCGATTTTTTTTCTCATTATTTATAAAGAATTAAAAAAAAAATAGAATTGTTTTTTTTTTCTGACTAAAGTCAGAAAAAAAAACACTATTCTAATTTGTTACACACGTGAAATTCAATGTTGTTTTTTTTAAATAAAATCATGTTTAGGATAGTCAAACCGCGTACGTACTGTCTTTAACACCCCCTCCCCCCTTCTACGTGTTTGTACGCTTTTGGGAAACCTTCCCCCCTCCCTCCCCAATACCTGCGCATGTACTTTATGGATGGCCCCTAAGTACTCTTCGCTTGTTTATAATTGTAAATTTTCATTATAAAAATTATTTAATACAAAATTTATTGTGGTCAAAACTACAATTGTTTTTAATTTTTTTCAATATGTTTAAATTGTAAAAAATAATAATTTTGAAGTAATAATATAACCTAAAATGATTATTGTTTAATTAGATACAATCAAAATGTTAGTTATATTGATTATTTTTGCATTGATTAAATTATATAAAAGATATTAAACCCAACTGATTTAAGGGTTGGATATCATGTTAGCTTGAGTCAAGATTTTAAATTTTAAATGGTAACATAGTAGTCATGTTATATTATTGTTGTTTACAAATCTATTTATGTCATGTTAGTTAATAACATCAAACATTTACCGTGAAATAACATTGTTTTAGATTCCCTGCAGGATGTCTGTTAAAAAAAAAAACTGAAGAAACTTTAAAACTAGATGATGGCAACTAAAGAAGTTGAAACACCGTTATTCATGGAGTCATATCGAGGCTTCAGTTCTTTTGTATTTATTTTTGTATTTTATTATTTATATTATTTTTACTTTATTTATTTTTTTTATGTTATTTTTGTTACAACAAACTATGAAAATAATTGTCCTGCCCTGGGCCTCTATTTTAACCTGGGCATGGTTGTCTTAGTTATAACATGTATATTGATTTATAAACTGTATTGAGTTAGCTTGTGATTTGTACATGTGTTTTTGTTTGCCTAGTGTTTGTTAGTTATATGCAAGATATGACATGGTATGGTACACTGCATGGTATGCCCTAAATAATATTATCAATAAATGTTTTAATCTATACTTTGTAATATATGCTATAAATATATGCTATAAATTATTATATTATTCAAATATATATTTGGACCTTATAAATTTAGTATAAAAGTGAATAAAAGAACTAAAGAAGCAAAACGATAAATTTTAAAGCAGATATTTATCATGCGATTATGGTGGCGATTATGAGAGAACTACTGTGGCAGAATATTACTATTGTAGAACAGTTTTGCATCAAATCATTGTGATTAATATTAGTTTTTTGTTGCTTAAAAATATTATGAAATTCAAATCTGTTTTTTCAATTGATTCGTAAAAATTGTCAGACCAAATATTCATTTGCCTAATACAATTTATTGCCCTGACAGCAAATTTAACATAAATAGTATGAATAAACTTTACTTTTTAATTTTATATAAAAAATGCGACTTTTTAATCAAAAAATTGTCACATTATTTATTAGCAGATTTGAGATACAAGAAATCTGTAAAAAATAAATTATAAAAAATTGAGAAAACCGGCGATAAATGGAAAAAATATCTGGGTTCAATATGGGATTTCCCGTCAAAAACCCAGACTAATCCCAGATGGGACCCAGTTGGATCCCACTGACAGAATTGCAATGGGCCCCAGCATTTTTCCGAGTCGGGTCCCAGTTAGAATGGTTAACTGGGTACGCTACAGTGACTTCTACAATGGTTGATGATTTATGTTTACATGTTTGGTTTATGTTAATGAATTTGCTAATGTGACATCCGCATAAGCTGATGCTTTATAATAATGAAGTAAAAAATTAAAATAAAAAATTAGTTAATTATTATAAATATAGTAAAAAAGATAAGAATTCAATATTAAGTTATACATTAATAAAGTTTCATAAGAAGAATAAAAAATATTTTAAAATACCAGATAATTTTATATACTAAAATATACATTTCATTTATAAAAAGAGCTAAATTTGCATTGAAAAAAATTATAAAGAAATTTCAAAATTATACCCATTGATAAACCCTGTAAAAATCTAACTACAGCAGCCCATGGGTAGTTGAATGTAAAGGCAAACATCAATGTAGAAATCACAACGCTTGCTCCAGTTAATAAAAGAGATAGTTTTCTTCCATATTTATCAGAAATATAACCCCAAACTAAACTAGTAAAAAAAAGTTTAATTTATATACTTACAAACTAGTTGTAAAAAAAATCCTTGAACAAACATATGTTCAAGACATAATTTTAACATCATTTTCATGGTGAAACATTAGGCAAAAACAAAAAAATATAAAATACATTTCTTAGTTTTTGAAGAACTTGTTACAAAATTAAATATTTCTTTAGTTTATAAAAAATCATAAAAACTTAAAGTTTTTATAGGAAACGTTTTTATTCGTCATTTCTTTGGCCAGTTTACCACGAATCTGGTAACATCTAATCTAATACAACCTGCTTCATGTTAACGTCAGGAAGGACATCCGGTTGTAAAAAATTGCTTTAACTTTTACGTAACAGCATTTAAATAATTACGTAATAGCATTTAAATAACTACGTAATAGCATTTAAATAGCATTGTTGAGAACCATCAAAAGCAACCAAATGTTGAAACATAAAAGTAAAAAAAAATTATTAAAAAACAAAAAATCAACATATAAACAATGGATCTAGCTACTGTTTTGTAAAAGATCTCCATGGAATGACTTTAAGGGTAAGCAGAAAGTTTGTATTGACCAGTTTTTCTCTTATTTTTTTATTTAAAAAATTGACATACATATAAACATGTTTCACGTTATATCCTGTCTAAAATGATAAACGTTGGATCTTTTTTTACTCTTCTCATAGGTTTTTGCTTGTGTCTTGGTTTGATTGTAGTTATTTAATTCTTTCTATTTTCAACTAATAAAGGCTTAATTCTAAACTTAGGCTAATGGTTGGTGATCACAGATGGTGGCTTTATTAGTGCTTTAGATGTGCATTCTCAAGCCTTTATAATCTCCATTGTGAAGGCTCTTTGTAATGAATTTGAGTTGATTAGCAACTCAATGACTTCGCATACATATTAATTTATTATTTTTGAACTTACTGAAAATCTCTATTCGCTTCTAAATCAGATTTATTACCGTACTTCTTACATTTATTTTACAGCTAATTTGTTGACTGACTTCTTACATTTATCTTACAGCTAATTTGTTGACTGACTTCTTACATTTATCTTACAGCTAATTTGTTGACTGACTCCTTACATTTATCTTACAGCTAATTTGTTGACTGACTCCTTACATTTATCTTACAGCTAATTTGTTGACTGACTCCTTACATTTATCTTACAGCTAATTTGTTGACTGACTTCTTACATTTATCTTACAGCTAATTTGTTGACTGACTCCTTACATTTATCTTACAGCTAATTTGTTGACTGACTCCTTACATTTATCTTACAGCTAATTTGTTGACTGACTCCTTACATTTATCTTACAGCTAATTTGTTGACTGACTCCTTACATTTATTTTATAGCTAATTTGTTGACTGACTCCTTACATTTATCTTACAGCTAATTTGTTGACTGACTCCTTACATTTATCTTACAGCTAATTTGTTGACTGACTCCTTACATTTATCTTACAGCTAATTTGTTGACTGACTCCTTACATTTATCTTACAGCTAATTTGTTGACTGACTCCTTACATTTATCTTACAGCTAATTTGTTGACTGACTCCTTACATTTATCTTACAGCTAATTTGTTGACTGACTCCTTACATTTATCTTACAGCTAATTTGTTGACTAACTCCTTACATTTATCTTACAGCTAATTTTTTGACTGACTCCTTACATTTATCTTACAGCTAATTTGTTGACTGACTCCTTACATTTATCTTACAGCTAATTTGTTGACTGACTCCTTACATTTATCTTATAACTAACTGGAACTCTTTTCATGATTTTTTTGTAATAGAAAAAAGTACGAGAAAGATTTTCTACATGATGGTCTTTTATTTCGTATCAACAATTATGCCTCTTATTGGATTTAAACAACTTACTCAATTGCTATCTCTTAATTGCACAACTGTTTTATTTAAACTCAAATTTTTTTACCTTTGTTACCAAATAAACAATTTGCCTTAGAATAAATGTCTTTTTATTAATGCAAAAACCAGATAGATTTTCTAATAATAAAAATTTGCATTTTTAGATTACTGAATGTTGTATTTTACCTTCAAAGGTATACTATAAAGATTTTTAAATTTTATTAAAATCTTTAATATTGGCTAATAAACCTAATCTCTTATATTGGCTCAATTTCTCCAAAAGACAATAATATAGTTTAATATATTCGTCAATATATACAATTTTTCCCTACGGACATAGCAAAACTATTAACGAATGATCTTTTCTAATTCATCATTAAAATCAGTGGCCAAACTATTCCATACAAAAATAAAATATATCCAGACAAATTTTACCTGCTAAATATTCTGGCAATGAACAGAGATGATGCAATTATTCCAGTTTTTCTTCCTGAAAAAAATTAAATAATTTATATTTTAAAAGATTTTTCCCGACGGGCATTTGTTTTTAAAAGTTACGTTCTAAATGTGTTTTAAAAGTCTTTTAAACGTCTTTTAAACATTAATGTTTAAAAGACGTTTAAAAGACATTTAAAATTCATTTAGATCGTAACTTTTAAAAAGAAATGCCCGTCGGGTTACAACAAAAAAACTTAAAAAAAATTTCAATTAGAGACAAGTTAATTTAAGAAAAAGGAGACCAATTTTTAAGTTCTTTATTTAATAAAGTGTTCTATAATTTAAAACCTCTGATTAGAGGCGATTCTACAAATAAAATAAGGAGGAGGGGGAGGGGCAGAATCGTTCAAAAATACCGACTGGTTTCTGGGAAAAAAAAAAAAAAGGTACTTAAAACGAAAATTTACCCTACTAAATTGTGTCAAACACCCGACTAAATTCGTAAAAATTTTGAGGGAGTTATTCTATTATAAAGTTTGTACATAAATATAAGAATTTGATAAAGGTTCAATTGAAAAACATTGTGTATTAGTTCTTTAAAATGTGTGAACATTTTAAATAGTTCTTTAGAATTGAAATAATTCTGACACTGTGTTTTTGTCAACTAATTAGTAGGTTGTGACATCCGCCCCCTAATATTCTAAAAAAAGACCTGTTCATATTCCTAAAACCTTTTATTGGTTCTTACAAGCAACTTTATTCAATTTTTTCAAATTTTTATTGGATTTAGGGGGAGCACCAGACCCTTAAACACTAACCAGGTCCTTAATATTATATAAAAAAAAAGTTTTTCAAAAGTATGTTATGTTGGGTCTCGAAAGAAGCTAAATTATATAAAAATTTTAAAAATAACAATCATTTAAAAAAAAAAATTGTTTATTAAAAATTTTTTTGAAATAATTATTAAAAAAAAACTTTTTTGTTTGCTTATTTTTTTTAAAAAAAACACTTTTTTCAATTTTAGGTCTTTTTGCAAAAAACTCTAAAATAACAACTTTTTTATAAAATTGTCGCTATTTTCGAAATTTTTACCCAGCATGACGTACTTTTGAAAAACTTTTTTATATATTATTTAGAGCCTGGTAAGTGTTCAAAGGTCTGGTGCTCCCCCCTTAATCCAATAAAAATTTGAACAAATTGAATAAAGTTGCTTGTGAGAACCAATAGAAGGTTTTAAGAATATGAACAGATCTTTTTTAGAACATAGGGGTCGGATGTCACAGCGTACTATTTAGTAGAATTTAAAATAATAAACTTGCTTAAGCAATTTTTTAATTTTACTTGCATTAGAGCTGCACCATGCAATATTTGCATAGTTTGTTTAAAAATGTTTAAATGAGAAATATAAGATTTTTAAGCAGTTTTGATTTAAAAATTTTTTTAAGTTTTTTACTTAACTTTGTATAGTATTTCAATATTTTTCGAAACTTTATCTTCTATTGTTCTTATGCGTTTTCTCTATGTCAAGTTTTTGTCAAGTATCACTCATAAAAAATTAAACAATTATTTTAGAGTTGCCAATATCAAGATCAGGAAGTGAAGTATTATAATGGAATATTTTCTTGATTGTGAAGTCAATGAAAAAAAGCACACTTAATTTATTTAAGGACAATATGTTTGCCTTAAAGATGGTTTGCGGAAGATTGAGTATCAGCATTTTAGAGGGTTTCAGGAAAAAAAATGTAAAAAAAAAAGTAAAAGGTAGCAGAAAAATCTTTACAGAGTGCGTAATAGGTGACTTAAAAAAGATGCAGTCAAAGAAATAACATGATCAAGATTCTGTATATTGAAATAAAAATCTAATAATTTGAGCCGAATCACTGCAATTTTTTAAATAATTTATTTAATATTTTTTTATACATTTAATAAATTTATTTATTGGGCAAACGAATGTAAAGTTATACATGATGCAGGTTATACAGTTTAGAAGTTTTTTCTTTCATATCTTTTTAAACATCATCTAATTCTAGATTTTCGTCAACACTGTCAACATATAATTATAATTCATCAAAGTCATTTAATTTATCTGATTCCATCTGATTCCATCTGATTCCATCTGATTCCATCTAATTCCATCTGATTCCATCTGATTCCATCTGATTCTATCTGATTCCATCTGATTCCATCTGAATCCATCTGATTCTATCTGATTCCATCTGACTCCATCCATATCAGGTAAATTTTCTCCGCTAGAAACTGCTAACAAACTTTTAACTTGTTTGCTAGCCTCGATATTTTTTTATTGTTCAATCTTATAGATAATTGATCTAATCAGAAGTTTATATTCAATGAAATTGTCAAATAACTTTATTTCCCGGTTTCTTTCCTTGCATTGTGTTCACAATCAAGTTTATAAATTCTGTGCTCTTATAAATTCAGCTGGCCGTTTTTATCATTCAAATGCTTTAAAATTGCTTTTTTATGAAGTTTCACAAGCCTCTTAGATGTGTGACCCAAAAGACCCTATAGTATGATTTTAGCCTTTGTTTCAGTAACTTTAATGTATATTTTTAAAGGTGAGCACTCATTTTTTTTTTCAATGTGATAAATGCCAAAGAGCCACATACTTTGCAAAAGTTGAACTTAATCTCTTTCTTAATAAATTTACTTTGTCTTCTCTGACTTGAATCCTAGTAATAATGTATTTAAACTCATTATCTACGTTATTAAAAGTATTTTTCGAAACCTGAAAGCATTGCGCAATTTGTCTTTAATTGATTTCTTCCAATACCTTAGTTCACAACAATATACTTATAAATAGAAAGAAAACTTTTAACAACATTTAGAAATTCATGTGGATTTTGGTTGATCAGTGGGACATCAAAAATGCACATTAAAACTATTTTTCTTAAAATATTTAAGTATTTTAAAAACTTAGGACAAAAAATCATTTTTTTCCTTTCAAGAACAACAACAAAACAAATTTACTTTAGTCTTTCATGGCTAAAAGTCGTTTTTTTTAATATTTTGTAATGAACGAAAAAATAAACTATTTTTATTCGAAGAATTTTTTTTTATTAAAAAAAATAATTTTTTTAATAATCTATATATTAAAAAATAACAATTAAAAAAATATGCTGCATTTTATCAATTAAAATAATATAAAAATTACTTTTTTAATAATCAATATATTAAAAAACACAAATTAAAAAAACATCTGCATCTTATAAACTTTTATCAAAAATACATTAAAAATCTAACTTTAAGAAACTACAACCATTGAGCCTATAACACTTCGAATTTCATAAATTGGAAAACGCTTAGTGAGAGTGTTAGTAACAAAATCCACTATCAGACATAAGGCCGGGTGAATAATAATGAGCAATTGTTTTTACTCGGTACTTGGTCATCTTTACGTAAATAAAAACTTTAGCAACTTTGCTTTAGTTTTTAATCACGTCAAGCTGAGCAATTATTGAGTAAATTGCTCAACTTTACGCGAATAAAAATTTGAGCAAAACTGCTAAAGTTTTTATTCAAGTAAAGTTGACTAATTACTAAGTAAAAGCAATTGCTCATTTTTATTCACCCGGCCTGTTATTTTTGAAGTAATTCCCTATGTTGTTTTATTGCCATGTAATTTCCCAATGTATTGTGCAAGCACGGAAACAAGAACGCTAAAACGATGACGATCTTGTAATGAGGATTAGGTTAACCTTATAAATCTTAACATTAACTACTGATCTAACATGTCTCCAAATTTTACTTCCTGATGCAGTGCCGTTGAAAGATGACGGGGTAGAGAGGAAGGGGGGCAAAAGTGACAGTTTGTCCCGGGCGGCAGATATCTGAGGGGTGCCAAAGAAAAAGAAGGTGCTTAAAAATACAATAAAAATTTTTCAAATAATGGCGTTGATTGGGGTTACTGTCTTAGGCGCCGTGGCGGTTCTCGGCGGCCCTGTCCTGATGTAACATTATTAACAATATATACGAAATTTTCAATTTTTTCTTTACAAGAAACTAAAAAACATTTTGTTTCATTTCCCTTTTTACTTTTGCAAACATTTCTCAAACCATAAAATTTTTTGAGATAAAATTTCATCATAAAACGTTTTTGGTTATTATACAATAAAGAATAATTACTGAAGTACTTAACTATGCTGAAACTAAAAACTAAATAATTTATTAAAATGTTCAAGTAAAAATATATTTTAAGTATTTTATGACAAAGTTATAAAACCCGCAAAATTATTTCTCAAACCATAAAATTTTTTGAGATAAAATTTCATCATAAAACGTTTTTGGTTATTATACAATAAAGAATAATTACTGAAGTACTTAACTATGCTGAAACTAAAAACTAAATAATTTATTAAAATGTTCAAGTAAAAATATATTTTAAGTATTTTATGACAAAGTTATAAAACCCGCAAAATTATTTAAATCTCACCTACATCAACTTCAGTTGATCCATAATCCTAAAAAAATTAAAATGATATAATAATCTATAAGGTAAGATTACCATAACTTAAATATAGATTTAAATTAATGATAAATAATAATATATTTTGTTCTAAATAACGTCCATTGGACCAAATAAATACTGCCAATTAGACTAAATAAAGCAAACAAAACACTTATAATCAAACTCATTCAAAACATGAAATACATTTATAAGAAGCACTTTTATTTCTTTTTCATTTTTAAAGTTCAATTTTCTCACATAAACTCAATTTATATGAGAATATTTAGTTATTTAATTTTTACTAAATTTTTCAAAAGAAAAAAGGAATGAAAAGAAAGCAGAAGAAAAATTAATAAAAGACTTTGTATTAAAGCAAACACAGACTTGACTCAATATTCAATTCAGTTAGGTCTAACGAGTTTTTCCATTAGAAGGTGCATTCTAACCAAAGTTACTTGCTACCTGCCTGTTCTGAGGTGCTAAATAAATATAGAATAAAAGAAGGAGGGAGTCAAAATAAACAAGGGAACGGGAGCATTTTGGTAATATTATGAAATGGAAGGAAAGGGTACAAGAACTGAAATGCAGAAAGCTCCCAAAGGAGGCCTTATATTTATTTAACCACTATTTTTAAGGCACGGTAAAAACATTTTTTCAAAAAATATGTTTTAAAATTATGGAACCAGTTATACAACAGAAAAAATTAAAAAATATTAAACATAGAAAAGGGGTACTTTTTGAGAACCTCAGAGGACCTGTTCAATTTATATGTTAAGAATTTATATGTTAATCAGAAATAAAAAATTAAAATACACTGTGTTAAAAAGATCTAGTAAATAAATAAAGCAAAGCAGTATGCTGACTCTCTCATAAGGATTATGACTTCGTGATAAAAGTGCCAATAATAAAATACAACTGTAAAAAAAATTAAAATGTTTAACTTAACAAATAGATTAAAACAATCATTATCATTTTAACGTTTTTGTTTTGCTTTTGTTTTGCTCACGAGTTTGACGACACTTAAACATCTTCATTATTTAACTCTAGCCATTACTAAAGTCCTTTACAACTCACTGTTTCCAAGTTTTTCATTTTAACCTTTAATATTTTTTTTCCTGAAACTTTTAAAATTCTACATGGTGATACCCAAGCATCTGTATCTTTACGTTTTACATGATCAAAACATCTTAATCTTCTTTTACCCACCCTATGACCCAGTGGGCACGCGTCGTCTGGTGGACGTCCGCTAGACGTCTCATGAACGTCAAGACGTCCGTAAGATAAACGTCACCCGGACAACGCATGCCGACTGGGGAATTCACTATATCTAAACTCTGTATTAGATCATCGTATCTTTTTTTGTCTTTCAAAGTTAAACTAAAGATCCCTCTGATCATCATTTCCTCTATTGTTTCCAAACAATTGATAAAATCATTTATTAATGTTTCATTGCTTTACCACATAACAAACCTGGACGCATCTAGTTTATTACTCTGTTTTTTTCTTTAATAATTCATCTATTGCTGTCAGAATTGAAATTAGTTCTCTACTTCAAACAGTAAGTTCTAGGTCCAGAGATACCTTACTATATACCTTTTGTTATTATCATTGTCTTTGCTCAGTTGTTGTAGTAATGGTAGAATGATAATGGCAATAAAGGTCAAATGGTTGTGCTGTCGTTGTTGTTATTGTTATTGTTGTCGTTATTGTTGTTGTTTCATGTAATCGAAACTCCAAAATGAATAATTTTAAAAAAAATGGATTAAGGTGTGGTAAAAAAAGTTACACCAATTTATTTGCAAATTATTTAATTTATTATTTTTTAATTTGCAACTTATTTGCAAATTAAATAAAAGTTAAACCAATTTATTTGCAAATTATGACTATAATAAACAAAAATTAAAATACAAAAAATAAAATGTGATATTGAAAAGCAGTCGTTACTCATAGTATTTTCTTAAAATCTATTTTAGTAGATGAAATCACTTGGCCTCTTTGCTTGTTGGCACTATGATTATTAGGTAACTACACAATATTCTTAGAAACTCTCCTGTTTATAAGTAAACTTTTTCAATAAATTCTTAAAATCAGAAAAATAAAAATTTAGCATTGCTTTTACATTTTCTGCCCAGCTTTTATTCTCTTTCTGTATTTGATTGAATATTTATTTTTCATCGAACTAATAATATTAGTTAGCAGTTGGGAATCTTAAAAGGTTCTCATTATTAATTAATTATTATTATTTATTATTGTGAAGTTGTGTAAACCGTTATTAATGTGTTGCAGCATGTGTTGCAACTAAATTAGTGTTAAAACTAAAGATTGCTTATCAAATTCAACATTTTTGTTAAATTGAATTCAACTTTAAAGTTATTTCCGCTGTGATCAAGTTTAATTTTCTTCAGCATAACACATTAAGACTAAGTTTTAAAGTTAACACATAATAACCTCATTAGATTGAGACCATTCTTAATATGTAAAACAAATTTCTAATGCGATGTCAGTTAAACACTTTCCGATACATAACTACTAAGAAATTGATTAATAAAGTTCATGAAATGCTCCAACATATTGAACAGACTATTCCACCTTGTCTGACAACCAAAAATCAATTTTTTCCTGCGTTCTTGTATGATATACTTCTGTAAAGACCTATCTTTTTTAAACAGAGAGTTTCTAAATATTTTGCTAATGCTTCTCGCTTTTCTAATGAGATCTTTATAAGAACTTATTATTTTAGCAGATGGTTGATACAAAATTATTGTCAAACAATAGGCTTCATTGCGACTTTATCACAAGCAGAGTTATCTTGTTCTTTATCTTCTTAACAATAAAGCTTGCTTTATATTTTTTACAGAATTTTTGCGATTATTTAATCATTTCTTTCTAAACCTTTGTTACATCCATGAAGGTCAAAACTCTTCTTCGTTTTTAGTAACTTTTGAGGTTACTAGAAACGGTTTTTAAGGTTCTTTTGTCCTGTATTTTATTTTATCAACATTAATGATATTGTTGACAATCTTAGATTAAAGGAGCTTTTTGAGCATTATCTCTCTTCTGTTACAGCTTGTTAAATTTTATCAAATTTTTCTTTAATATAATAGTTTTAAAATCATTAAAATATTAAAATACTTTGTACTTTATTAAAATACTTTGTACTTTACAAAGTGTTTAACGCGCATTTTAAAACGAGTATTGTTAAATATTATTAACAAATTAAAACTTATTGATTTTAATAATTTTTATGAGTAATTTATTTAGGTTTTTTGCTGTTTAAATTACTTATAAATTCAAAAATACTTTATTCTTTTAAAAATAAAATCTTAAAAAAAAAACATTATTCATTTACTTTAAATCAAATCGAAACATAAAAAAAAGTTAACAAAACATAAAAAAAAAATTATCAAACCTTTACAAGTTGTGGAAGGTATGAGAAAACAGATGTAGTTGTCATGGCATTAAAGAACTAAAATTTAAAAAAAAATCTTAAAAAAAAGTGCAGAAACTAGTTCAATACATACAGAGAGCTGTTTTTCTTTTCAAAATACTGTTTAATGAGTTTTTGTCAATAAAATAAAATATTGATAACTAATAAAAATAATTTCTTCAGTTGCAAATAAGTTTATTTTAGAAAAAAATAAACCTTAATTAAGTTATTAATACTTTTACTTGCTGTTTATTTATTAAAAGTACAAAAATAAAAATTCTCATAATGCAAGTTTTTACTCAATAAATAATACGTTATATCATTCAAATGCAGATAATTTTTATAGTAGAGATAGAAAATATACAGTTGTTTGTTATTGACATGTTTTCATTTTAAAGTTTAAGTAAAACCTTGTCAAACTTCTTTCTATCTGTTTTACGTTTCTCATACTTTTGCTTTTGACATAGCCCATATATTATTTGCTTTTATTCTTCTAATATCATGTAAGAGTCGGACAAAAAAATTTAAAGTTCAACCAATGGTATTTTATTCTTCTAATATCATGTAAGAGTCGAACAAAAAAAATTTAAAGTTCAACCAATGGTATTTTACGATTAAGATCTTACAAAATGGAAAGTTTGAGCTCTCAAGTTCGAACAGTTTAAAATTTAAGACGTTTTAAAATTTAATTACTTCATAAAATACATTATTTCACCCCATGTCCGCCATTATGCTCTTTGTAGTGCTTCTTTTAAATAAATACAGTTCTATTTAAATAATATGGCTAAAAGGTTTATAATGACCATATTTGAGAAAGCTGAATCGAATATTCAACCAATTACTATCTTTTAGTTGTCATTTTTCGATTTTAAAACGTTTAGTCAAGTTTCATTACCATGGATTGCGCTTTCATTAACGAAATTGCTAGAGATGTTAGGCAGTCTTAAAAAAATATGGTTTGGTATCTTAAACAAAATAAAGGTTAGGCATTTTGAAAATTAGAAAATAAGCTCCCTAATTAGGCTTCATAATCGCCATTATTGAGTTAAAATACTCTCATAAAAAATATCGAAATTAGCGATATCTTTTATGTGAGTAATTTAAATTCAAGTGGTAAAAACTAAATGAAATTTGGTACATAAACGTTTTTGAAGTCAAAATATATTGGGTAATCGTTTTTTAATTTTAAAATAGTGACTCTAATATTTTGTTTAGGTACCAAGAGTAACCATTTTACTAATTTCCAAAGTTGTCTTAGTTTTATGGGTTGTAACGCATGAAAATTTTTGATGTAAAAATATTGTTTTTTGACGTTTGCTGTGATGTATAAATATAGTTTTGAAAGATCAATTAAAATCAGACAAGTCTAAAACTCTAAAAAATTTATATTTAATAATTATTGATTTTATTTGGTAATTCAGTTTTACAGTCATGACAAAATATCATCAGTGCTCCATTGGAAGTAAATCTTTTGAAAACAAAGTAAAACCTGGGTGAAAAATTAATTTAAGATATGCTTAGAGCTATTTTAAACTAATTTCTGAAAGTGCCGAATTAAATATATATAGTAACACCATACAGCTTTTGACTTTCTGAAAATGAATCGAAAATAATAATGTGCATAACAGGGCTATTAATAATTAATTTCAAATGAACCTAACATAAAATAATATTTATTTAAAGCGTTTTTTACAACTAAATTAACACAGTGTTACAATTCTTTTATATTTATAACAAGTTTAAAAAAGGAGTTTATAGTAGTGACACCTTTTAATGTTAAAAATAACCATTGTCCGCTATGCAGATATAAATTAGCATTTAGTGATCCTAATTTATTTCAATAAATCAACTAAATAATATTGAGTTCTCCCTGATACAAAACTTGCCCTGAATCTTTTGTGTCAGCAGGTTAAGTGAACTGTTTTCAATATTTAAAGAAAAATTATTAAAAAAAAAGCATAAAATCTTGCATTTTTAAAAATTATACCATTAAAAATATTAGGTACAGCATGAAAAAAGTTCTTAGATTAAAAATTATTATTGCAACACTAAATATATTCAAAAAAAACAACATGTTTATTAGTTCATTTTACCCCCACATTGGAATAAAGTATATCATCTTTAACACTTCTGTGTTTGTTATTTCTGATAAACAAATTTTTTAATTTTTTATTTTGTCTTGCTGCTTGATTTTCCTTTTAAAGCCTTTCAACATATAACGTATAATTTTTTAAACGCATATTCTCATGTAAGACACTTACTTCAATAGGGTCTTTTAATTTATTATATATATTTTTTTTGTAGGTCATTAGCTGTATGAATGAGCATCATCCTTTGTGGCCGTTAACTGTTTTTTCACTATTTCTCTTATGGTTTTTTTTAATAAACTAATCTACATCTGATATTGATAGTTGACTTATTTTTTCATTGTTTAAGTTTTGTTCAAATATTAAAGTATTTTGTGAATTGTATTTGTTTGTTGACTTCTCTAAAAAAAAATTTACAAATATTGTTCTGTTTTTTGACATTAGTGTTCAAAGTGATGTTTTGTAAGAAATTATTATCACAACTATTTGCTTTCTGAGGAAAAGGGTGTTTGTATATTACAGAAGGAATTTACTTGTCAGATACTATAGCAGATGGAACAAACGAAAAATTCCAGTTTTGGCAAATGATTGTTCTAAATGAGCTGGCCTAAAGGGGGTATCATAAAGTTTTTATTATTATTGATAAAGATAAAAAAATAGATTTCCCAACCAACTTCAGACTGGGTATACCAATTAGCTAGAATTCCACGCCAAACATTTTTAACTTGGCCAAATACTCCCATATCAAGTCACTGTAGCAGGTGCTAACAGTGTGCTGACAAACACAAAATATAATTTTCAATTGCTTTTTTAGTAGTTTCTAAAGAAATATGACTTATATGACCATCAAAGATAAGCTAAACAGGCTTGGGAGTGTCTTTTAACCATTAAACAAGATGGTTAAAGTATTCAATAAAATCGTCTGCTTGCATCCAACAGTTTTTTACCACCCAATTTAAGGAACTATTTCGTCCACTAGATAACAACTCTTTATTCAAATTTTTCACTGAAAACAAATTAAATAGTGGAAAATTTTTTCCTGCAGCTAATATTGTTGCTAGTACAGTAAACTAATTTTTTTTTCTGATCTAGGAGCAGTAGTTACATTTTTAATCCCTCTTTTACAAATAATTTTTTTCTTTTATTGGGTTAATGCAAAGCCTACTTTTATCACAGTTTAGTATTTGAGCAGATCTATTCAAAATGGCACAGTTTTGTTACAAGTCTTTTCTAAAATCTATTTATTTAGATATACGTTTGAACAAGTTTCATTGTTTTGTTAACTAATCCAAATCCAAAATCAGAAAATGCCGACAAAAGCGAAACAAAATTTTTTTCAACATCAGTAAATAATCTTATTGGTTTCCCTTCACCAGCATTTGAGCATTTTATACCTAGAGATGTATTGCAATTTTACTTCTTGAAACACCATATTCTTTTGATGGAGCATTTGAAGATAATTATTTATTTTTAACTTTAAAAATAGCATTTTCAAACAAATTAGGTACATTCTTTTTTCTTTTGCTGATTGCTAAAGCAGTGTTTGGATACGTTTAAATTTAATCATGGTTATGTGAGTTACTGCTTAAGAAATGAAGCTATGTTGAAAAAAAGAAGCTAAACTTATTAACAGATAATCAATTGCAGCTGCAGTCACTGGGATAAGAAAGTCGTATTTTCATAATTTTTATTATAAAGATGAACAGGGTATCTAATGATGATTTTACTATAACATTTGACTTCTTCAATAAACAAAAAATAAACTATATTTTTAATGGAATGTACTCTAAATTAAATTTCTATCAATGTTTTTTAAAACATTGAGTAGAAATATGCAATGCAATAATGTTTTTATGTCTTTAGAGATCTAAATAATTTTCTATGTAAAGATTGCCTACTTTAAGTTAGGAGATTAAATAATAGTCAAGGAACTCTTGAAATGAGTGAAACATTTCCCATGGTAACTAAACAAAAAATTTGAATAACGTTATTTAAAATTTAAAAATAATTACAAATTTTTATTTGTTTGTTTTTTATTTTTGGATTCAGCACCTTCGCAAATGATCAGTTATCAATTTTCATTCTTTAATTAAAAATAAAATTACTCAATAAGATTACTCAATATTACAAATTACAAAAATTACTCAATGTAGCACCTCAAAGCCATAATGGCGGATGTGTGCAAGAAGAGAGCGGTTAAAGCTAAACTTCAAAACATCATTATTTTTGAATGGTTTAAATTTGAGAGCTCAAACTTTGCATTTTTAGCATATTTCATTAATAGGTAAAACTAGTTAAAATTTGAAAAATATCTGAGGGGTATAAATTTATTTTTTCATCGATTTACCCTAAAATCATTTCTTTTTAAAAAAAAGCAATTTCATTTATGGCACATCCACCTAATTGCCAGCCCCCTTTTTGAATATATTAATTTTATGACTATATGTTTAACATAATTTACTTAAAACATTTTTCATTTCCTCTATACACCGCATTTTTTATTAAAAAGTATTATCACGTTTTATCATTTTTTCTTTGTTTGGAAGTACCCTGTATTCCTCTAAATACTTTTTATACTTCAGCAAAGCAAACTTTTATATTAAATATGGCGTCAAACGTTTATGTTAAAGGCTTTTGTATTTTCACTGGGCGTTTTACTGTTAACAGTGAAACCCCTAACAGCTGATGCTTGCTTCTAACTAAAAGTGAAAGTGAGTTTAGAAATTTTCAACAATGTCTAATAATTTAAAGCAATATTGAATGTTTCAAAATAAAAAAAGGAAAATAAAAAACATTTCTGTACTAATTGCGTAAAAGCTTTTTTTAGTACTGATGCAATCATATTTTTTTTAGATTTGGTTCAATTCAAACCTTGCATTCAAAAAATATTTTTAAAAATTTTATTGAAAAAATGGTTTAAGCTTCTATGAATGTATTTATTACATCCTGAGA